CAAAAGTATGCGGTTTCTTACTTCAGCTTCAAGTTCCACTAGCTATAAGCCTTCAAACTTTAAAAAATATTCTCTGTGGTTCCGAGTTTTGGAGCTGTGTCCTGGATCTGCTTTGCCTGGTGTTCTGTGGTATGGCCGACTGCGACCTTCACTGCACCTCCACCCTAGCCGCCATCCAGCCCCGCCCTAAGGATTGATGCCTTTGAGTTCCGGTGTTGGAGAATACTGAAAGGGCCGTGGGCTGCCAAAAGAACCAACAGATCCGTGTTGGAACAAGTGCAGCCAGAGTGCTCCCTGGAGGCCAGGGTGGCCAAACTTCGTCTTATGCTTTGGACATATTGTTAAGAGGGCCCAGTCGCTGGAGAAGGATATCATGTTTGGTAGGGTGGAGGGTCAGAGAAAAAGAGGAAGACCCCCAACGAGATGGATTGGCCAAGTGGCTGCATCGATGGACTCAAGCATGGCAACAATAGTGAGGTTGGCCCAGGATCGGGCAGTATTTTGTTCTGCTGTGCATAGGGTCGCTATGAGTCGCTGCTGACTCGATGGCACCTAACAACTACATATGGAAATCAAGGTTAGGACCAACATGTGGGAGCTACTTTGCTCTGTAGTGTGTGGTTACAGAAAGAACGAAGCCACACCAAACTCTGGCCACACCAGGTTGCCAACAGCCAGTGCCGACAGCTGAGTTAGCGGACAGGAGGAAGTGGCTGGGGCTTTAGGTATCCCTCAGGAAGTGCCATCCAAGCAGCTTGGGTCAGACTGGTGACCTGGTGCTGTGTGGATGCCAGGCAGGACGACTCCTACCAAGCAGTGCTGAGGGAGGGAGGCTGCCTGCGTCTGTCTGAAAGCCTGGAGAACGGAGGTGCAGGGGTGCTCATTCCACCCGAGCCCTTCACGTGAATCACCAATGGTTTGAAACCAAAGTGAACCCACAGCAAACTTCATGCCACATGCGGTTTCCTTCAATGCCTAGTTCTTCAGTGTCTTGAGTGGAAACCACCTGGTGCCGCCTGTTTGCCCAGCTCACACCATGGCGTTCCTCGTCCTTTCATAGGAACAGATACGCCATCTCACAGCAATAAGGGCACAACTTGGCATCCTGCTCACACACCAATCACACAGTGCCACAGCCCCCGACTCAACCCACACTGCTCACTGGTGGGGGAGGGCACGTTCATGGACCATTCCCGAGACCCCTCCCAGACCCCCCTTTTATGGAGCAGCAGGTAGTCCCGCATGGCCTCCTGTCCTGAGGGGACAAGTGTCACCTCGCGCTGCTACTTAAACGCTGGAATCTCAACAGCTGCTCCGTTGTTACACCAAAGCCATTTTCTAGTCTGAGAGACCACCGAACCTCTGGGCAAGGGTACCTCAGTCTAGTGGCGACTCGGACTCCTAGTGTGGCCCTACATGATCAGCACTGGGCTTATCCTGCTATCAAGCGGGCAGGTCAAACCCACCTCAGAATCCTGTCTGTTACTACAAGTCAGAAGTGACTCGATGACTCTTAACTAGTGGGCGCTTAGATACACGACAGCTGTACTTGGAGAGGGCATCCACAACTGAAGTCAGACCTGGAATGTTATTCAGCTGGGAGGGGAGAGGCCTCATGCTCTGCACTGTCCCTCCACAAGGCCGACACTGTGACCCACCTGAGTAGTCAACTGACAAACGTTCCCCCTCTTCCATCTCTACACCCCCCGTGGGAGTGTTTCCCGATCTGTAGGAGCGCTTAGTGGACAATCTGCCAGTGTGCAGGGATGGGCGGCAAGCCCTGGGTCCATCTTTCACAGATGCCACCAGCGCACCACCCACAAGTCAGTCCCTGAGGAGCTACTGACCAACCCAGAGTCCCACTGTGAGGTGAACGTGTGGTTTCCCACATGCAAGTCTTTCCCTTACAGATAGAGTACAACAAAATTAGTCACTTTTATTTAAGAGAAACATTACAAATAAGTGTGCAAAATTAAATTTCATGATTAAATACACATAAAAGTAACATGCATACTTGACATTAAAATCCACAAAGTTAGCTGATTACAGGACAGAAAAGGACTGACAAACCGAGAAGCTGCTGTAGACTGTAAATGTCTGTAACCTGAAATCGAAACCAAAATCAAGTCTCTTTAAAGGGAATTGAGGAAAATAAATACAGACCTCAAATAGTACTAACAATATAGAGCCAGAACCTATTTAACATTATTACCAAAGGTTCAAAGTCCGTTATGTGCCCTTCATTCCCAGATCAGAGTGGCTGTCCTTAGACATTAGGAGGGAAGCAGAGGTGGGGGAGTGAGGAGGAGGAGCTGGCTGGGCCCTGGGGTGCTATGCTGCTGCCGCCCCCTCTCCTGCCATCTCCCCAGTACTTTGTTCCCACATGTGACAGAGGACCATCATGCCCTCGGGCCTTGGGTCTGCCCCCCCCCCCCCCACACACACAGGACGCACACGTGTGCATATGGCAGATGTCAGCCACAGAGCATGAGGAGAGCTTACAGCAGGGACACGTCTGGGCCTTTGCTTCCCGTTCAGACGGAGAAGGAAACCCTCCCCCACCCCCGGGTTCTAAGGGTGCTGCTGGTATGATTACACGGCAGGACTCACACCGACATCTGCTCATTTTCCCAAAGATGCAATGACATAATGGAATCTGTTGCCAAAATCCAACGTCAAGGTGTCCACCCTTCCTTAGCCCTGCTCGTGTGCTGCTCTCATGGGTGTGGGGTACGCAGTGAGCTGCTAACTAAGCTAGCGTCACGGGAGGCAGGCAGACTGGCAGGTAGGAGCTGAGCTGGTCCCTGCCACAGGGCCTCGCTGTGCCTGATGACCACTCTAATACTGGACGTGTGACGTCTTTCTCAGGAAAGCGGCCCACCACTATGGCTCGGAGGCTGGGGGCACCGGGCAGCCCAGGTGGTTGACCGGCAGCCTGCGCGCCCACGGGCACTGGCGCTGTAGCGTCCAGGCCGCGCGGCTCACAGCTTGTCGTCAGTCATCTCCAGAAACTGTGCGTACACGTCCCGGATGCACTCCCCCTTGGGGTTGAACAGGAACTTGTAGTAGCTGCCGTCGGCACAGATGGCTGCAACAGAGAGAAACCCTTTACCCAGGGCTCCTCCCAAGCAGGGCAGGGGGACCCCACACTCGCTAGAGCACAGACCGGCAGCCGGGAGCTGGAGGGTGCGTGCACACGTGTGTGATGTGTAACTGAACACTCGTCACTGGGACAGAAAACAAATGGCTGGAACAGTCTGGAGGGTGGGAGCTGACCACCTGCTGGGGGTCCACAGGGGTCCTGGGTGGGGAAATGCTCACCAATGACAGCATTGGGCTCCGTTCCAAAGGCACAGATGCACGGCGAGCCTGAGGGGACCTGGAATTTGGAGAAGCTCCACTTGGAGCTGAAGTATTTTGGAAGGAAACTGGCAGACGCCAAACTGTGAGGACAAACAAGAGAGAAAAGGCCCCTGACTGACGTCATGTGGAAAAGCAGACGATCCACCGGCTGTTGGAGAATCAGGGCTTTCTTTAATCTAACAGAGCCCTGTGAGTTTTAAAAAAACTCTATTTCTGCTTATAATCTTGGATTTCTTTCTCACATGAGAACAGTCCTTATACAGGTTTTACGGTAAAACAAGAGCCTGTCTCCACAGCTTTTTCTGAGGATAACTTCAGTGCAGCAATGTTTCCAACTCTAAGAAGAATCAAGTCAACAGCAGAAAAGAGATTCCAGCCTGGACTTCTGGAATCTGCCATAGCCCACCAGTCTGCCCTCTGATTCAAGTTCCCACCCAGAGTGGGATCCCTACACCCACCTGGACTGCTTATTCCTTTTTGGGTCTTCGGCGGCAAAGATGTGCACGGTGCCGTGGTCGCTGGACACGCAGATGAGGGACGCATCCTGGTTGAAGTTGATGCTGCGGAGAGTCGGGCAGGAGCAGGAGTCCACACGTGACCCTGACCCTGTCTGTGCAGCTCAGCCCTGAGGTCCTTGTGTGACCGACCCCCAGTGGAAGAGGGGTCGAAACCATGGGTCAGTTCTGTGCACAGCTCTTGAGGCTCTGTGCGGAGGCTTCCAAGGTCCAGGCTGTGGCCAAGTGAGGGGTTCCTTGCAGACTGAGCCTGGGGGGCCAGGGCCTCCAAGCTACCCCACCCACCACTCAAGACAGCCTCTGGAGGCCAGCAGTTCTGTTCCCACGGTCAGCCTGTGGCGTGGGGACCAGCAGCCCTGATGCTGAACTTTCACTCCACAGACCCCCATCCACACTGAGGGGCAAGGCGAGGTCCCCTCAGCTGCCAGGGCTTTGGTTCGCCAGGCCCCTGCTAGAAACAGCTGGGCTCTGATTTAGAAGCGCCGTTACCACCACCACCGGCTGGCTGGCTGGAGAATGCTGAAGTGGGGCCGGGTCAGAGCTACAGGATGCCCTTCCTAACTCGTCCTAGGAACTGAAGTCCGACGCCTGCTTGCAGGCCACCCCAGGGTGAGGACGTCGGGACTCACCAGTAGATATTTGCTGCCTGCGAGCCTCTGCGTAGCTCCTGGATCAAGTGCCCTGATGAGGTATCAAATATTCTTATAAGGGTCCCCTTGGAAAAACAGCGAAGGGTTTCATCATCAAAGGGTCACGAAGTGGGTCCATACACCCACCCCACGGCTGCTGGCAGCTGAAGCCTCCCCACTGACCAACTGCAAATCCCCTGCCAGGCTCCCAGACCTGGACCTGAGGACAGGGACACCCATCAAGGACCCATCACTGCTGTGAGACCACCTGCCCTACGTTTCCCTGAGGCCCAGGCCAGATTCCTCAAGGCAGGCCCTGTCCTCCCGTGGACTCATTAAGGGCGGACACGTGGCAGCTCTTGGGAGAGTGAGGACGCCTTGTGGTGGATGAAGTCCACGCCCAATCCCATCTCCGTGGAATAAAGGGCGTTGGCCGTTGGCAATGGCCCCACTGACCTGGCTCACACGGCTGGAAGCAGCCGACTTGGGAGGGCACAGGGCTGTCTACACGGAGGCCACGCTCACCTTTTCAGACGCAGTTGCGATTCGTGTCCCCTGCAGGTTGAGGGCAACACAGCTGAGGACGCCCTCGTGTGCAGGGATGTCCACGGGCGGCTTCTCAGTGCTGGCCAGGTCCACAAGCTGCACGTGGCCTGTGTGTGTGCCCGGGAAGGCCAGAAGCGAGTTGTTGCTGTTTGGGCACAAGACACACAGCCCTACAGAGAGAGAGACCATGTGACTCACACCTGCCTTCAGCGTCCCGACGTCCACAACCAGAGCCCACGCCCAGCCCCTGCCCTAAACCATCAGGAATGACAAGCAGCCCCCAGAAGGCGCTGAGGAGTGTTCTCAGGGGAGGGGAGCCCAGGTAGAGCTCCCAGCACACAACAGGTGTAAATCCGCCCCCCCCACCCCCGTGGAGTCCAGTGTGGGGCTGGAGGTCATGCTGAGGACACACGAGACTGGCTAACTTCTGTGCAGCAGTACTGACCCCTCCAAGAACTCCTGCTTCCCAGACTCCTGACCCTGGGACTAAGCGGTACCCGGGTGGACGCTACACCCCGACCCTGGCACTAAGCGGTGCCTGAATGGACGCTACACCCCGACCCTGGCACGAAGCGGTGCCTGAATGGACGCTACACCCCGACCCTGGCACGAAGCGGTGCCTGAATGGATGCTACACCCCGACCCTGGCACTGAGTGGTGCCCGGGAGAACGCCTGCACTGCAGGAGCACTAGTCCTCACAATCACCTCCCAGTCAGTCTGTGCAGACTCCCATGGGTGCCGTGGTGCTCGGAACCGTTCCTGGGCCACGTCTCGGAACCCTAGTCCTGCAGCCCACACTACCTGGAAACGAAGCGGGGGAAGCCTCCAGCTGAGCTCAGTCTCAGTCAGGCTTTGCTACTGGTGGCTTTAACTCCTCCCGGAGCCGGCCCACTGTTCTCCACGCTCCTGCTGGTACTCTGATGGGGACGGTGTCAATCTACACTCAACGGCACCTTCCAATCCTAGAGCACAGCCATGTCTGCTCACTCAGGCCTAGGGACAGCCGGGAAGATGTTCCCATGCTCAGTCTTCTCAGCCCACTGGCCAGGCCTGTGGGTACCACCAGCCAACAACACAGGCCTCTCTCCTGCCGACGGTCGTTCACTTGGGGACCAGTGTTCTAGAGCCTCCTTGAACTGGCACTCAGTCGGAGGGATACACACACACACAAGGGCTCCCACATGGCCAGAAACATGGGCTACAAGTAGCCCTTGTATGTACTCTGGGGTCAGTCCACCATTCACACCTAACTGAGCACGTGACTTTCACAGCATGCAGCAGACGTCCTGGGACTGAGGGCACACGACTGTCTCCTCTGCTGATGCTGGGATGGTCCGAGCGTGGGCCACACCGAGCAATGCAAACCCAAACCCAGAACATTCCACAGCAAAGAGGGCAGGAAGTACCCGGATGACACAAAGCCACAAGCTCCCAGAAACTGGAGACGTCGGTCCACGCAGAAAAGCAAACACCTAAAGTGTGCGGAGAAGTGCCCTGCCCGCCTTCAGGAAACACAAACTTGAGCCGTCAGAGCTCCAATACCCACCCGGTGGTGAGCATGACTTCCCACCTCTGGAAGGCTCTGGGGTTGCGTTGGGGAGGCCAACTGTGGGACCACTCTGTCTTGACTGCGCTGGTCACACAATCAAATATGATGCCCAAATGTACCAAGTGTAACTTATAAGGATGGAGTCTCATGGAAATCAGACAGTAATAAAGCCAGGGCTGGGGTGTAGACATCTGCATCAGCGATGACCACTTCTCTGCCCCAGAACCCAGAAGCCCAGCCAGGGGTAGGTTCCCCAGACGCTAGGAGTGAAGGTGAGGGGATGGACAGACTTCCCCGTCACAAATGCTCCCTCCCAGACTGCTTACCTTTCGGGTTGTAGCAGGTCTCAAAGACATGCAGCTGGTGGGGATTGTGCGTGAACGTAAACACTTTAATCATGGAGTCCAAAACCACCACAATTCTGAAAGGAAGACAACAGTCAGACGCCGTGGCCCATGTGCGATTTCTCCTTGTGCCGCCTCAGAGCTCCCAACACCACGCAGAAAGGCTTCCTGGGAGGTGTCTCCGGGGGGGTCAACACACTGCCTGCTGAGGGGGCGGCACGAGGAGCCTGGCAGCAGAACGTTCTGATGTTTAAAGGAATGTTCTCTGCAGAGGAACATGAGTACACAGGGCAGAAACAGAAGGCCTTCCCGGCCTGTGTCCTTCTAGTACAGGCACGAAACCACCACTGCCCCCTGGACTCACGAGGCCTGACACCACCTATGTCCTCCTTGGACAGGTGCACTTGCTGAGCCCACCTACTCCCACTGAGGGGCACCTGAGAACAGGGCGCCCTCCTCACCTGATGTGACCCTGAAAGCCACACTCACCTTCCCACCGACCTCCCCCTACCCACCGGGTCTTGCAGCCGTCAGCATCCTGGGGACTCATTTCCCCTCACTCTAAAGGGGTCTCCGCTACCTGTGGAGAAGGGCACTTTTCCCGGCACCCACCTGTCTCGTCGCAACTTGACGGCTTTGACTTCAGTGGAGAACTCAATCTCAATGACAGTCTTCTTCTTGAGGTCGTCCCAGATCATGACTGCGGGAGAGAGCGCCCTTACAGCTGTGACCTGGAGCACCCCGTCTCCTGCCACATCCGCACCTGTCAGGCTCGGTCCCCCACTGTGCTCTGTCCTCCTCTCCCCGTCTCTTCTCCCTACACCTCATCCCTCAAGCAGCAGACAGTTTCCAGGCAGAACATACACACTGTGGTTGTCAAAGCTTTCTGATCTCGCTGTCACTGCCCAGCCCACCCCAACCCAATGCTGCTGTGCCGACTCCAAGTCACAGCGACCTGGACAGGACAGGCTCCAACGGCTTCTCAGCTGACAGCCTCAGCTTTCTTCTGTGGAGGAGCTGGTGGGTTTGAACTGCTGACCTTGTAGTTAGCAGCCCAACGCTTAACCCACAGAGCCAGCAGGGTGCCTTTTAAACACACACGACATCCCTGAACCCAGAGCCGAGAGCTACTAATATAACACTTCCATGGGCTACTAAGGTAACATTTCTTTGGATCAACAGCCCTTAACAGTATCAAAACAAGAATCACCCCTGAAAATCCCTGTGCCTTGCTTTCAAATGAACCCACATATCCCAGTGCTACTCTACAACAGCAGCGGACCCAGAACACAGGGGCCCAGATTTGTGGCAGAGCCCACCTAACCAGTTAGCAGAGAAGCATGGTTAGCTGTATGCAGACGGGACCCGTGACCCCCTTCATAGACAGCACCCCAACATGACAGAACCATGACGGCTGGGACACGTGTGGCTACAGACACGATTTACCTTTGTTGGGAGGGTATTTCGGCTTTTTTCCACCACCAACTAAAGCCAAGTAGTTGCAGCGAAATAACATCTCAACGTGGCCAACTCCTCCTTCTAGAAATTCTGAAACGAGTGTTTTAAAAGACAATTTAAAAATAAGGTAGACAGCACTCAGCCCTTAAATCCGACTAGGTCCCAAGTGAGAATGCTGACGGCTGGGAGAGAGGCAAGCCCAGTTTCTCTCTGGTGTCGCTGCACACGGCGCGCTCACGCAGACAGCGCAGCCACACGCGTACTTCCAGAGGCTGAGGGTGCAGTGTGTGCACCCCAGCGGCCATGCTGTCAAATGTGTGCTTCTGAGTGTGTCACCGGGGCCTGCAATCGCAGAAGCTGCAGCCTGGAGCACGCCACCTCCTGCTACCCACTCCTGTGGCTGAAGGTCACGAGTGTCCCTGGGGAGGGCCAGAAGCCCAGCCCAGTGTCCCTGAGACCATTTCCTGGTGGGCACCTGGAGATGCTCTGCCCATGCTCCCAGACTGAATACTCCAATCTGGGGCACACCGCAGCAACACACACTTCCCTTCCTGGCCCCAGACTCAGGAAAGCAGACCGTGAAGACAGAACGTGAACAAGGTCGTTTGTATACCTCCCCACCAAGCTGCCCGCACTTGGTGCTCTCCCCAGCACATGGGCAATCGGGACAAGGTACACTCAAGGGAAGCCTGTCCAGCATGATGCGGGGACACCTGCTAGACAACAGACAGGATGGGGCATGTGGACACCCATGGACACGACACACACAGCACACACATATACAACTCGCACGTCATGACAAATGTTTCCTGAAACGGGAGTTTTAGATCTTTCTTAACCAACTCAGTTTTACTACACGGGATTCTTAACTGATTCCATGCATTTCATCAACTAGAAAGCAGGTGAAAACAATTCAACTGTGAAACCAATTTCTACAACCTTTACGCTTCTGAATCAGCTTAAGTAAAAAGTATTCCGAAATCTACAAGTCGTTTACAAATGGGTTTTAGGTGCAGCTGTTGGTCTCCCTGTGCAGAGGTTAGGCGCGTGATGAAAACTGAAGACATCTGGAATCAATGAATCCAATGGACTAACAGAACACGTGAACAGCAATCAGTCTCCATGACCGAGGCCCTAGCTCCCACTACCAACTGCTCTGCAAGGGACCACAACAGAAGGTCCTAGATAGAGTGAGAGAACCTGGAACAAAACTCAAAGTTACCAAAATGACTGTGCCTACAGGTCAGAAAGAGACTGGAAGAAGCCAAGACGATGGCCCTTGGTCACTCTTCAGATCTGAAGTTGAAGTCTTTGTCATGGCTCAATTTCAGCTGTGTGGCAGATAGGTATGTGGGGGTGGGCAACAACACTGATAAGGAATACTCACCATGGAATGGGCAACCACTGAAGACCAAAAGAACAGGAGGGGCGGGGGGAATGCAAATGAGCAGAACTGCCTGAGTTTACAGACCCACAAGAGAAGCAGATCCCATGCACAGCAGATGACTGAGCCAACAATCATACCGTGACTGGGATTCTGTAACACTGACGCTGCGGTCACTGGGCACATGGGTGTGGGGGGGAGCTGGGGTTCATGTCTACCCGGCCCACCACCGTCTTTCCAGAATAAATTCAGGCTACTGATTTATTTTGGAGCTCTGGTAGCGTAGTGGTTACGAATCGGGCTGCGAACCTTAGGGTCAGCGGTTCGAAACTACCAGCCGCTCCGCGGGAGAAAGATGAGGCTTTCTACTCCCTTAAAGATTTATACCCTCGGAAACCCTGTACAGGGTCGCTATGGGTTGGACCCGACTCGATGGCACTTAACAACAACAACAACTGATTTATTTTATAGAACAAACCCCTAGATTCATGTTAGTACTTAAGATTTCACTGGAAAAGGAGTGCAATTGCCAAAAGCCCAGGTAACTCTCCACCATGGGCCGTCAGCTGGGAACATGTGGAGGGGGAGGGGGGCCTAGATGACACCTGGGAGTCAGGACTTGCTGCCAGGACTTCCGGTTACAGGCAGAAAACACAACAAAACAGGTGCTCTGAGCAGAAATCAGCGAGGATTCCTACAATTTACGGGCATCTGAGCAGAGGAGTGGTAGCAGCAGCAGAAAGGCGGAAAGGTTTTAGGCTAACTGTCATTCACTGGGAAACTCAGGTGGCCAGCGGGACAAAGGCCAGCCCTGACCTGGGCTCCACAGCAGAAGACAGGTACACGCACGTTTGTGCAGCCACAAGCTGTCCCTTCCCCTTACCTTGTTTCTCCTTCTCCTTCAGGGGGTCGGTGTTATAGACACGGAACCCGTTCTCCATCCCACACGCAAAGCATCCTGGGGGGTGGGGGGAGAGAGACAAGCATCAGGGTTGCTCTATATCCGGAAGCACCCAAAGGCACAAGCACTTCCATCTTTCCCTGTCTTTTTCAGTCCCTCAGAGCCCCCCATCTGTGGCTCTCTCACTGAACAGGCTTCCTGGGGACACTCAGTGAGGGAGATGCAACTGCCACCTCCACCGGCCAGCCTGCCCTCATTACTGTCCACATTGTCCCCAGGCTCCAGCCGCTCACTAATCACTTCCCAGTGCCAGGAGCAAACACCCCCCACCTGGTGTGGCAGGAGCACCTCTTGTGTGGTGAGAGCACTCACGTAGTGGACAGTTTCCCAAGTGCAGGGAGCACTGCCCATGTGCCAAGAAGGTTTCTGGAGTGCCAGGAAGCACTCCGTGTAAGGGGAGCACTCCCCATACAGAAGGAACACTTTCTGGGTGGTGGGAACACTCCTCTGTGTTGGGAGCACTTGCCCTGTGACAGGCACAGTTAGGTCCAGGGGAGTACTGTGGATTGAGAATGTGGTGGACAGCAGTCAAGGAGAGGCCAGGAAAGGACAGCTCTTCTCCACCTACAGGATGGGTCCCGGGATCCCTCCCACTCCAGACCACCACCACCACCTTCAGGTTCACACACAGGAGCTGTGGAAAGCTGGTGGCACCCCCAACGATGGAGCATTCATGACTAAGAGCTGGCCTCCTCTGGCCATACCTATAACCCAGTGTACCCACCTGGCTCAGTGCAGCAGCGGAGTCTGCAGGTCACCCCAACACTGCCATTTACTGCTTCTCCACTTACTCGAGCTTATCATTCCTCTTTGTCCTCCCCTCCCTCCACCTCCACATCTCCCAGCTGTGGGCCTGGACCACAGTCTCTGCCTCATGTAGACACGTGCTTCTGAGAAAAGCTCTCTCCAGGTTACATAAACTGTTGTTGTCAAGTCAGTTCCGACTCATAGCCACTCTCTATAGGGTTTTTGAACCCCAACCTTGAGGTCAGCAATCCAGTGCTTATCCTACAGCACCTCACCAGGGATCCAGGATATATAAGTAACTCTTACAAATCCACTAGGAAAAAAGCTCACAGCCCATAAAGAAAAATGGGCAAGAGACTTGGACATTTCATAAGGGAAGATCATTAAAATGGCCAATGAACATACAGAATGGTACCCAACTTTATCACCATCAGGGATGTGCAAATCAGCAAGCTCCACCACACCCCCCAAACGCCACATGGAACCAACACGGTCATGTGACGCTGGCTGCAGATGCTACTTGTGCCTTTTACTCAAAGCAGTGGAGTCTACGCCCAAGTGAACACCCTGAAAACGTGACACATGCTAGACTTTGTGGCAGAGCTATCCTCACAGCCCACTGGTACCCCCAGTGCCTACCACCACTGACCAGCTGCATGGACTGAGGTGTTGGAGAGGAACATGCACAACTATATCAACAACAGAAGCTTACTGCCAGGGTGAATTAATAAGGCAGACACAAACAGTGCAGAGTGTGGGGATCTATTTCTAAAGGGCAGAACCAGACAACTTGAGTCCAGCCTGGAAATGGGCCGGGGGACCAAGAAGGAGCCAGGTGCCAGTCACAGTGGTGTTCAGACTGGACACTTAGAGGATACCTGCCTTTCTCTACACGTAGGTACCATACACACTAAGGAAGATCCAAAACTGTACCAAGAAGGCAGAGCCGCAGGCAGGGTCCTCCAACATGACACAGTACAGTCCAGAGCTAGTCTCCAGCCACACTGCAGAGCCACGCAGGTCCTACTATAGAGGTGTGTGCCTCGCAGCACCTGTGCTTCCCAGGAGACTCCAGAGAAACACAGGTGTACCGTTACAGAAACGTACCTATCAACTTCTGAGTGTCAAAACTATAGTGCGAATTAGCTTTCGGAGGAGACAAGTGTGAGCAATTGAAAATCACGGGTAAATGTCCTTTCTGAATGTTTTGATTATGATTTGGGGGAAAGCTTGCAGAGCACACTTTTTTTCTATTCAACAATTCATGCAATCCCCACCATCTAACAGCACTTGTCCCACTTCCTCCGAGTTTACCATCTCCATTCGTTCTTCCTTCCCATCTTCTGTACTTTCTCCTGGCTGAGTGTTTCAAGGGGTGTGTACACCTCCCGGTGTTACTGTTCACCTCACAGGCCTGCCTATTGTTTGGTTGAAAGTTGAGCTACCAGGGTGAGTTCAGTTCCAGATGTGTAGGGTGACTAAGAACCACAGTATCATCAGTATTTCATCAGTATCAGGCCAGTAAACCTGCTCTTTTTTTGATGACTCTAAGTTTTATTGTACATTTTTCTCCCACTCAGTCTCAGACTCCTTATTGTGATTCCTTCAGAACTACCAGCCATGGCAGCCAGGCATCATCTAGTTCGTCTCTCTCAGGGTCCTGGAGGCTTGTTGGCTTCCTTTGGACTAAGTGGTTCTTTGCTCCACAATGGAGAAACCAGTCAGGGAACGTCCTTTGAGAACTACTTCTGCACTGGCAACCTTTCAGATAGGTGCAGAGTGCTTAACCATTTTCAACATGCAGGCATGCCACCTGGTAAATTACACCTAAGTACAACAGAACATGGGAACACCAAATGGTTTAACATTAAGAAAGGTGTGCGACAGGACTGTATTCTCTCACCATACTTATTCAACCTGTATGCTGAGCAAATAATCCAAGAAGTTGGGTTACATGAAGAAAAACGTGGCGTCAGGATTGGAGGAAGACTTATTAACATCCAACGATATGCAGATGATACAACCTTGCTTGCTGAAAGTGAAGAGGACTTAAAACATTTACTGATGAAGAGCACAGCCTTTGGTATGTATGGATTGTATCTCAACAGTCTTATCAACGGAGAAAAGATTGAAGTTGCCAAGGACTTCATTCTTCTTGGATCAAGCAGCAGTCAAGAAATCAAACAACGTATTGCATTAGGCAAATCTGCTGCACAAGACCTTTTTAAAGTGTTGAAGAGCAAAGA